GTCGGGCTGCTCAGCAGACCCCACGCCATTGTGCCATGGGCGGAAGGTCCTTCTGCTCAGCCGTGTCCCTGAGACACGAAGCCGCCTCACCTGGCTCTTCCCAAGAGCTTTCAGCTTGGCCGGATACCCGGCCCAGGGAATCTCTCAYCCAGTTGGTTAACGTTGCAAGTGACTGCGAGCAGAAACTGCCTGAGACACTGAATTTTTCCACCTGCTCCRTCTCTGCTACTGTGACTACTTCCATATTATGTTCACATTATTCTTAAATTCCACAGCGTATTTATGTACCTCTGCTATCCAAATCAGATGAAGACTAAAGAAACATYAGAAAGCAAAGCAAATATGAGATCTAAAATGTGCAAGAGAGGCTCTGAACACTCCTTTTGCTCCTGATCGCAACAGGTCCACCAGAGCATCGAGGCAAAAGCAGAGGTTTCCCCACCTCGCCGGCAAGAGAAACTTTACGCACCACGTGCCAAAGGATTTTATCTCTCATCTAAAATTATAGCCTGACCTTGCCCATTTCTGTGTGACAGAGCTCGTTTAAAGAGGCACTGAACGTGCTCCAGGGGCGCGGGAAGCAGCAAGGCCGCCGTGGACGCCGGCTGCGCGGAACGCAGAGCTCAGCTTCTGCAATGCACAGGTCCTTAAACAGCGAGCGTGGAAACGCTCCCACACTGCTCAAGTGAAAACTGCTGTGAAAACTTTCCTGTGATTAAAAGCTAAGCAAGACTACAGACTAGTCCCCAAGAATAGCAAAAGTGCTGATAAAGCCTTAGCAGTAAATATTTGAAATATATGTTAATATAGACAGCAGACTTCTCCAGGACAGAAGTCCCACTCAAAACTATTGTGTGTGTTGAGGGCTAAAATCCTCAGTTCAAGCGATCTGCCAAAGCCATAGGGAAGTCCTTTCTCTCTGGAATAAGGAAAAATGGTGCTAAAGAAGGATGATTTCACATCTCTGTGCACCTCCCAGAGCCTCCTCAGATACACCCTCCCTTGGTAGGGAAAACACGGACAGAATGGGATACAGCTGGGATACACAGAAGCTCTAAACCAGTTTCCCAAGAGGCCAATGGGTTAAATACCAGCCAGGAGCTCTGTCTCAAAGTGCTCTCAGGTGGGGAGCAAGACTCCACTGATACCAACAGCTCTGAGATGCCATCCTTGGAAAACAGCTGGCCCTTACGGGAGCCACCTCACTCCTGCTCTAATGAGGCCAGCCTTCCCTCACAGTCATTACTGGGATATGAAACAAGGGCTAAGAAAGCATCAAATGAGCAGGTACAGCTGAAACTTCGCTCCTGAATCATCTCGTGAGTCCGCAGTGTGAACCGCGGGGCCATGTGGCAGTCGCACACCTGGCACGCAGTCCCAAGCCACAAACRTGGCCCGGAGGGCTAGCAAAGAGCCCAGAAACCTACGTGGCACTTTGCATCTCGAGCAAAGGAGGGGAAAACGAAGCACGTTTAAGTGAGCTGGTACTTACTGTTGTCGTAGATGGGGTTGGAGATCAAGGGAGGAAGCGCTAGGGTGTAGTTGCCGTGCTCATCGGGGAGGAAGGCCTGGAAGCAGAGGCGGACGACGTTGAGGTCGTACTCATCGATGTTGTGCAGCTGCTCTTCGGGCACTGCATGGCAGGAGGAGAGACACGGAGGTTACTCTACGGAGCGGCAGAAACGCTGCAACCAAAGCGGGGCTGAAAGCTCCCCGAGGAGAGAAACGGCGCCGCCAGCACGGAGCAACGTGGCCATCGTCCCTGCCGGCTTCCCAGGAGCTGCGTGCCTAACTCCGTGGGCACGACAAGYGGCACGGTGACGCCTCCCTGCATTCAGCAAGGTCAGTGTGAAGCCAGGAAAGGACAGGTGAAAAGCCCTCCTGGGAGCGGGGCAGCGGTGCCCCCTGAGCCGCTCTTGGCGCGGCCGGGAGCCGAGCAGCAGAGCAAGCGCCTGCGGATGCTTACAGGTCAGTCCCTGCACACGCATTTCTCTCTCGCTTGTGCCACAATAAACGTGCACAAAACGGGTGGCACTGCCCAGCAGAAACCTCTCAGCACAAAGCAATCCATGGATCTAGCTGGGCATCTTCAGCCACAGCGAGAGGGTTCTGCTACGTTACCACTATTTTCCTTTAGAAACTGAGAAGGAAAAATGACCAGAAGGAAGTTCCTGGGGTGAGAATGAAGCCCGAACAATACAAACAACCCGCCCTTCCTGCCGAGATCTGTGTCACTTCTGGGCGTTTGGAAGCAGTGATCAGCGGCATCATCTATTCACGTAACACAAGAGGCAAACCCTTTCCGAAAAGGATATTTAGTTACACACTCTTGTGTAACTAAAATGTGTAAAATGCAGCAATGCTAATTCCAAGACCTGCATTTCAGTTTTGTTCACCTTCCTCTCATTTTCCTTTCAAAACACAGGGCCTAGGATATTATTACTAAACATTTCACGTTCTCTTAGTATAATAGGTGATTCTGGGAAAGGCAGCAGTATAGGAACTTGGTAGCACTTTCCTTCCAGGTCTGACATTAAACTATTATGTTGACCCCCAGTGACAGCAAATGAAAGACTGATTTTATTTCGTTTACGTTCAAGTCTCGATAATTAAATCATTTAAAGAGGTCCCCTCTTCCAGAGCTGTTGATACACCCAGCACTTACGGACACGCAGACTCAAGAGGTGACCAGCTCCTCAGCTCCCTCCCTCCCGGGCCCTTCCCAGCCCCCCTGCAAGGACAGAGCATGAAATGTGCCCGAGGTGAACGGCTGGTGACGCTGCCCTGCTCAYGGGCCCTGCTCTGGCGCCTGTCGCGGGGCCGCCTGCGCCCTGCACGGGCAGCATCCTCGTGCCCGCTCGGCCCAGGTCTTCCTTCCTTCCACCCTGCGATGGGGCGAAGCGCTAAGCGCACTGAACTCACAAGACTTTCCATTGGCATTTTCAGCCTTTCTGATGTTCTTAGCAGCGCAGTTTCTCCCCATCGCTGCTGTGAAAAGAAAGCCAAGCACCTGCAATTTCACAAGCCGCTGGCCAGCAAAAGCAAGCAGTGAATATTGCAATGTTTAAACACTGGGCCCCAGCTAACGGGCACRGAGACAGAACGGCCACGAGGACTCTGCTGTGTGAACCTTGGGGGCTGTATTACCACACAGGCAAAGTTTCATAATTTAATGTGCCTCGCCTTGCTGCTGGCTTCATTAAATTGGATCAAAACAGCTTTTCTCACTGGTGCCACTGCGTTTTAAGCTAAGTGCATTTATAGATGCAGCAGAAATGGCACTTGCTCCCTCAGCCCCAACCGACACTGCGGAGCCACGAGGAGGCACCAGGACTGCGACAGGAGGGGCACGGGACCAGCTCTCACGGGAGGCAGGAGCACTCCTTGGGAAAACACTACCCAAAATATCCAGCCCGTTACCATCCAAGCCCAGGGCAGCTCCGGCTGTCGGGAATGCTGCAGACACGGCAGAGCCCTCGAGGCCATTCCCGCATCCACGTTCCAGTGGCCGCTGCCATCCACTGGCTCTCAAACAAGCCAGGCAAGGATGCAGTAGATGAAAACTAAGCCAGGGAGCATCTCTGTGCTTGGACAGGAGCTCCTGGGCAGGTCTCTGAACCTCAGCACTTCTCAGCAGCGCGGGGCTATGGAGCCCAAGGCAGCCCTGGCAGTCGCCACCGCTTCTTGATACAACCCGAGCTAGGAAAAAAAGTATTCCCTGGATCACAGTGAACAACCAGGGTGGAATGCTATCTTGCTYCCAGCAATTCAAGTGATTCTTATTTGTGCTCTGGCATCTTAACTAGCGAGCAACTGGCTCCCAAGGACACTTTGGCTTGTGTCAGTGTGTTGGGAGCCTTGGGTGATCATTTGGATCCAGCCAGAAAGTGCAGGCTGCAGCCAAATTTCAAACCAAATACAGAAATTCAGTATCTTTGCCTAATTCTATTCACTGTAGATAGAAACCAGGCACAAAATCTGGATCTGGCTTTTGATTCTGAAACAAGGTGAGGACTTTGTGACTGTGGAATCAAGTGTGTCTTTCAAAAATTAAAGCATCAGCCCTGGACTGTGGTTCCCACACATACAGTGGCCTGCACCTCAGAGCTAAATCCTGACAAAACAGCTGTGTAAATACAAAAAATACATTAGATACAGATAAAATAAGTATGTTAATCTTAGTGTCCAGGTTGCAGAAGTTTTATATACTATCAACTTTTACAGCTTCCCAATAAATGCACCTGATCTCAGAAAGACGCAGCGGGTCAGAACGGCGAAACACGGACTCACTGTACACGGCGCGCCGTGCTGCTGCAGAAAGCACTGCTGCTAATTTGCATGCTCTTGTAAATGACTTAGTGTATTAAAGAAATCGGCAGCTTGAAAGAGGAAGTGCTCAGTCAAGACTGATTCCTCCTGGGCTATTTTTAACCAGATGAGAAGCACATAACAGAGCAGAAAAGGAGAACACGACAGCTGCAACTCCATCTTGCGATGACTTGTTTAAAAATACACAGAGGCTGAACCCCATGCTTGAACAGCGAAGCTTTCATCCATTCCCAACCATATCCCCCTCACACCTAAGGGACAATCACCCAAATAAAAATAAAACAATGTTATTTTTAATGAATGTCTAATTCTGCTCCCTCTGAAGTCAATCTGAGACTAACCGCTGACCTGAATGGATGCTGGCTCACACCTAGGGGATATTAAACACAAACAAAAACCAGGCAGACACAAACACGCTGACTAATGCTTGGAGGACGTCCACGTGGAGGCTCCGGTGTCCTTCGGCATTACTCCAACTCCCGTGCAGAAGGGCAACAAAAAGCACCAAACCTGACGAGTTTAATGTGACTATAGTTTAAAAAAAATAAATAAAGATGTTGAAGATTTGGGGAAGAGACAGGACTGGGGCAGAACGGCGCGCAGCACCTTGCGGTGTGAAGCTCGGAGGAGCCGCTCCGCTGCCGTGGGTGACGGTGCACATGTGCAGGAAGGATTGCCCAGCCCAACAGAGAGGGTARAAGGGGCCTACACACGACTCGAAGGCAGAAGCACTACGCTCCTGGCGAGGGTTCAGCTTCCTCTTTCGCGTCTCGCCGTGTGGCACCACACCTACTGTCTCCACGCAGATCCCACTGAAGCAGCTGGGAGCTGACCCATAACCTACATAAACGTCGGAGCAGGGTTCCTGTGATGGCCCTGGCTAAGGAAAAATGAGCCCTCCTCTGGCAGGAACTGATTCTCTCCTGCTTTCTCTGCAAGCAGGAGTACGTCAAGGAATGGTGCTTAGTAGAGGTGTTTCGCTAGGTGAGAGGAGAGCTTTCAACACCAACCTTTAGCAACTCAAAAGCAGAGCAAATGAAAATACTATTTAAACGAATTTAAACTCTCAGAATGGGGCTACTAGTAATAATAACTAGTAAATTCTGTCTTAATAAACCTACATTCAACTCTTCTAGAAAATGCTGATTCCTCAGCTTAAAAAAAGATTTCCCTTGAGATACTTCCCTACTGCCATGGGGGGAGCCCGATGCAGCCCCGAGCGGAGCTGCTACCTCCCTGCTGCCTCCCCAGGCACTGCCTCACCCCAGCAGCCCATCCGACCGGCACCAGCTTTTGGGTCGGGTTGTCCCCGCCTCAGACATCTATAGGATCGAAACGCAAAGACATCCTATGGGCTTCCTGCAGAATAAGAGATGTCAGAGAATTTCCTGTRTTTGCTCCTGTGAAAACTGGATGCTTTCTAGCTTTAACTCACCAAAAAGCAATTCCTCACTCTGGCACAAAATTAGAGGTGCTGATAACATCAGGCCTCCTGCTTGTTGGTGTTCGCTGCTATTTAATTTTTAAAATTATTTTAACAACAGCCTTAAGCACCCAGAGGGACTCGTAAGACCTCATTTAGCTACTGAAATTATTGGGGGATTAAAGGTTTTGATGTTTACTCATAAGCCGACTTAGAGGGAAAGTGAAGCTGGATGCTGCGCGAGGCGGGGCACTGGAAGAGGCTTCGTTTCTGGAGCGATCCCGCGGCACGCGGTGAAGCGGCCGAGCCCCCCATCCCGCCCCGGGCGCTGATGTCAGAGAGCGCCGCAGTGGGCGACGCTGCGGCTCGGGCAGCCGCTCAGCCTGCCTCGCGCGGAAACTTCCTGCGCCGGGGGCTGCGCCGGGTCCCCACGGAGGGGCCTCCACGGGGGCGGAGGGGGCGTCCGAGAACCCGCAGCCCTGGCGCGGCCGAGACGCCCTCCCGCAGGCGGCAGGCACAGCAGCGACGCCTCCCTGCGGCCTCAGCCCCCGCGGGTGACACCGGCGGGGCCGCTGCACGCGCAGGAATCCATGCACTGTGACATCCCCAGCTTGGGTGCGTGCTGCAGAAAAGCAAGCTCTGCACATGCCTGCGCACAGCACGTGCCGTTACCGACTCCCAGGAATTCCGGGAGGCAGGTTCAGCCCCGTGCCGATGGGCACGGGATGCAGGTGCTACCCCGCGGTCAGCGCCTCTCCGCACACGCGCCGGGGAAGCGGCGTCTTCTGCTTTGCAGAACTAACTTCCCCGAGAGGGTCAGCGGCGCGGCCTGACACCGAAACCAAGGGAAGAACTGGAAATAGAAACCAGAGATTTTGAAA